TTCGATGCGACTTTCACCGGCAGATAGCTGTTATAAAGAGTAACTTGGCTACTTATATTTTAGAAAAATACTTAGGGTTCCGCGCAACATAGTTAAAACCCTAAATTACACGCGGGCGAAGTCGCGGAGAACAGCTAGTTAAACAATATAACTCTACGAAACTGAATAGGATATTTACGGAATTATTTCTTCTACGGTAGCAACGCGTCGGGCACTAGTTAGTATGTCATAAAATTAATTGCAGACTGTCGTAATATGCAGACAGCTGTGTTTAAATTAAATATATGTTCAGGAAATGGGTGCATGACAAAAGTGTGTTACATGTGCAGACCACGCCACCCATCGCCCATATTTGTTTCCTCTAAGGCTACAAAAAAAATTGAATTTAGAGATGTAGCCATGGACGTAGCATTGTTTATTGCTTTTAATTTTGAAAGCGTTCTTTCATTAACTGTGAAAATAAAATATGTACTTATGTAGATAAATATAGCTAATAGATGTTTCACTTAACAATGTTGGACGCTAATATTTTATGAGATAGGAGGAAGTACCTAATGTAAGTTACTGACGCTGCAATGAATATGTTTGATTTTAATTCGGCTCCGTATTTCCGTTTGTGATGGTCTACATACTCGTTTACGTGTAGCTAAATATAGAACACATATGGTCAGCATAGCGAAATAAGAATCAGCAGTATAATTGTGTAATTCTGGTTGTAATCGTTGTTGCTTTCTTTTTAATGTTAGAAGTTTGGTATCGATTATAGGCCAATAATATCCTATCAATTGCAGCCTAACAAAAGCCCACTGCTGAACATTGACCTTCACCTTAGATTGCCTCATCGCACCAAATCATCCCTTATTTGGTCGTAGTTGCCAGGACGCTTGGCAGGTAGATTGCCAACCACAACTTTTTATTATTTTGAGTTGTTAATAAGAAAATGCTGCTTGACCATTGTTAGTTAGCCTCTACCACCCGCGGGAAAATATGGGGTACCCGAAAAAAGTCGAAAAACAATTTGTATAATCAATAAATAAAAGCTATTAAAAAAACACCACGTATGTTTTTCATTCTCTACTGATCCGTACGTACACGCCTGGTAAAATATACGTATAAAATCGATTCGAAAGTCTGTATAAAATCGATACCAGGAGATCATAAACATATTGCAACAAATCCTAGAATTGTTAACAAGAGTAATTGAATGTGAATGTGTGAGTGTGAATGTGAATGTGAATGTAAATGTGAATGAAGATAGATTAATGTTATTTCTACCAGGAAGGCTACGAAACTGCCAGGACTTCATAAATCTCTACGTGGATTTTGCCTACATGAATTGTCTGTTTGCTACTAATTACAATAAATTATAGCAGCCGTAGCCGCGAGAAACCGCGTAATGGCGGTGTAAGAATATCCATTACCCCATATCGTCCTGTAGGTGTCGTAAGAGGCGAAAGAGGGAAACTGAAATAGGAGACGGGCAGCAGCATCTTCCTGATGACAATTCAAAATAATAAAATCTGTTTACCAACTCGTTTGCCAGGCGTGGCAACTCTGGCAAATCTCTCTTATGAGGCAATCTATGGGAGAGGTCAAGGTTTAGCAGTGGACTTGTGAATTTCTCCCCGACTATGAAATAGTATAATTTTAGCTGATATGTATACGTGTTGTATTTATATATTAAGTAGGTATTTTTTTATGAGACACACTACACAGGCCTGTTATAAATATGAGATTATTTGCAAGTATAAATATGAATGTTCCAATTTCAAATTTCCCTCCATATTTATTACGAGCTTTTGAGATATCGAGTTTCAATGAAAAATAGCCAGCGTCGTATTATTATCGCTATGATTTATCACAATTTCAAATGTCGCTTAAAACAGTACGAATCGTTTAATAGACTTTTAATGGCATTTATGAATAGAAGTCCTTTCTAAGGCGACCGTGTACCGTTGGTATAATAAATATCAACATGGTCGACTAATTTCGAGAGATGAAGAAAGAAGTGGTCGTCCTTTGACGTTACGGAAGGAAACCTGCTAGCAGTGAAAAACTTAATTGGAATGAATGAGTAATAATGATACGTATGAAGAAATTCTGCTCATAATGTAGATTAGATTGGGGAGTGTGATTTTACATGATCACCTTCGCGTGAGGAGAATAGTTCACGTTGTGTGCCGCCTGTACCGTTGTTCAGAAGTAGCACTGCGCTATTCCCTGAAATAATAACTTAATTTAAAAATAAAAAAAATCCGAAAATAGAGCTGATGATCTTCAAACGGCTGAACACACTCGATTAAAATACCTTTCAAACGAAAAAAAAAATACAATCAAAATCGGTCCATCCGTTGATTAGAATGTTTGATTGATTTGAAACTTATATAAACAGTGGTAGAGCCACGCGGCAGCTTTTGCTGTCGCACGGATGGGCCGGCTCGAACCGGGGTGATACCACGACCTCACAGAAAACCAGCGTGAAGTAGAGGTTTACCTCTGCGTTTCGCTTGGTGAGTGCACGTAGCCGGAGGCCTTTTTTACTGGAAATGAGGCATTCCATCTTAGTCCTCACGGGTGACAACGCATCTGCATTTTAATTCGCAAACGAGGATAGATGTAGATGTCTATGGGCCGCAGCAACCACTTACCATCAGGTGGACTGTGTGCTCGTTTGTCACCCTAATCCTATATAAAAAAAAACTTATATCACCCTTATGTTTTCGTCGGGGTTAATAAATCAGCTGATAAATTCATCATTTTCGGAAAATACGCTAACAGCGTTCGAGCAGGTCGTAGAAGAGGTGTCTAAGGCCGACTGAAGTGTATGGTAAAAAAAAAACAATAGTTTTTATTACTTTCCAAAAACTTTAGGAATGACCCAAGTATATCTGTTTCTATGCCCGACCGCAACTCTAAAATTATTATAAATATGAAATTTAAGGTATAACGTAGACGAAATAATTTTAACACGGAAACAATGAGAATTTTTTTTTGATACTAAAACGTAAACGTCATAATACATCGCTTTTTATTTCGTATTTTTTGAACACATTAATAAAATCTTGGAACGAATGGGACCGACGCGACCGGAGAGAGATCAGGCGCAGGACCAACGGCTTTACGTGCTTCGAGAGGTACCTCCAACTTCTTAACTCCGGGCAGATACTGAGAATTTCTTGAGGGAAAAATTCAATAATTGATTTTTTTTTATTATCGAAATATGATGGGCATGTCTGTGCTCTTCTGACCGGATACTGACTGATATTAAGAGTATAGATAGCCTGGATAGTGACAGGCTGTGAGGCATTTCATGTTGGTTTTCGGAGGTGATAACACATGCGTGGCCTTCTTTGATTGAAATTAGCTCCAAATGACCACAAATTGCAGTAGTCACTTTTTAACGTGGTAGAGCCATGCTGCAGCTATATTATGGTTGTAGCACGAATGGGTCGGCTCAACCGGGGAAGGACCACGCTCTCACAGAATACCGGCGTAAAATAGCAGCTTAACGCTGCTGTGGTTCGTATGGTGAGTGTAGAGAACCGGATATCCTTTTTACTGGAAACGAGGCATTCCATCTTAGTCCTCACGGGTGACAACGCATTTGCATTTTGATTTGTAACCGAAGATAGATGTAGATGTCCATGGGCCACAGTAACCACTTACCATCAGGTGGACTGTGTGCTCGTTTGTCACCCTTATCCTATAAAAAAAAAATCAGATGGACTGACAGATCGTTTGTTACTTCAAGTTTATAAAAAAACAATAGTTGTTAGGTTGGGATCATTCTGTTACAATTTCGTACAAGTATGGTTTCATTTTATTTTGGTTGTAATCCCCAATTAACCTTTTGTCAGATGTCAGACTCTCTTCCTCTTATGCCTTGGTGACTCCCCAATCTATCAGAGCTAAAATGATCTCATAACCATCATGGGTTGCTAAACTTTATATTTAAAACTATTCTTTTTAATTGTCATCATCATCATCATTACAGCCCTTCACAAGTCCACTGCTGAACATAGGCCTTCCCCAAGGAATGCCACAAAGCACAGTCCTGACCCACCTGTATCCATCGTCTCCTGTATGTCTTACCAGGTCGTCACTCACTCTAGTGGGGGGTTGTTCTGTACTTCGCCTACCGGTACGAGGTTGCCACTCGAGAACCTTTTTTCCCCATCGGTTTTCGGTTCTTCAAGCTATAAGGCCGGCCCATTGCCACTTCAGCTTACTAATCCGTTGGGCTACGTTGGTCACTCTGGTTCTACTGCGGATATCCTCATTTCTAAGTTTATTACCTGAGATGGCTATGCACGGGGTTTTTTAAACCCTGAGCATAGCCCTCTCCATAGCTCGCTGAGCAATCTTGAACTTCCTAATACGGCCAGCAGTGAAGGACCACGTCTCAGTTCCATAAATCATCACTGGTGGTAATACGCACTGGTTGTACAATCTCGTTTTTAGGTATTGGGGTATATCTGACGAGAAGATGTGTCGTAATTTCCCGAACGCTGCCCAGCCGAGTTAAATCCGTTGTGATTGACCTCAGTCGAAGGGACTTACCTAGTCGGACTATTTGTACCAGGTAAACATACTCGTCAACAATTTCGAGTTTAGTGCTCCCAACAAATACCGGCATAGGCGTGACAAAGACGTTATGCATGATCTTATACTTTAATTGTATACTTTTTAATTGTATTACTTTTTTAAAGTATAATTAGTAATATTAGTAATATAAGTGTATAAATTTTTATATTATAGTAAGTAATACTCGAGACAAAATATTGCTATTTCAAAATCGAAACCATACAATAACTAACACTTGTGTACACAATACGCGCAACTTTGATCCAATATGCATGACAATAGCACACAAATGTGGATGACACAGTCCTTACCAGCAGCAGGTAGTGGTGACACGGATCAAGACATAGTTTATATTAATATTAATATTAGTTGAATACAGAATTAAATAGAAAAAAAGCTATTGCTCAAAACCGATAATGTATAATCAGCCGTATGAAGAAGAAGCACCACTTCCATTGGTAGCTAACTACACAGTAGTTAAAGGTGACGAGGAAGAAAAGAGGGAGACAGAAGATAGAGTAATTCTAGAAATAGGACGTCAGGATGATCGTCCCCGCGAGGAGCACACGTTCTCGCATAAGAAGTATGATAAAACTATTTCTCACCACAGGTCGTACGTTTTAGACGACTATACGGAACCGAAAAAGATAACTTACTTCAGATCTCATGAGATGGAATCTTTGTCACAAGAAGGTAACTAATTTCTGTCACTATGTAATTTGGTTACGTAATGTGTGTTATCATCATCATCATTACAGCCATTGAGTTATATGTACTACGTACTAGAGAAGTCATTTCAAACAAAAACTGTGTCCTACTCTATGTTTTCGCGCATGCGCGGGATTAATAGTCGCGCATGCGCGAAGACTTTGATATAAAATAAGATATTAATATAAAATAAATATAAGAATTTAATATAAAATATCTTAATTTCATCTAAACAAACAGGTTATATTTCTAAATAAAATGTAATAATAATTATTTTATGGAATTCACAAATCTTAAATTTACGTAATATTTAGTTTGTATGGATTGCACTACAGTTCAGTTGAACATAGTCAATGTTAGGAATAGCTTCTCTAGTACGTAGTACATATAACTCAATGATTACAGCCCTTTACAAGTTTACTGGACACTGAACATAGGCCTCCCCCGAGGAATGCCACAAAGCATGGTCCCGAGCCACCAGCATCCATTGACTTCCTGCATGTCTTAACAGGTCGTCACTCCATCTAGTGGGGGGATACCCTACACTTCGCCTGCCGGTACGAGGCTGTCACTCGAGAACCTTTCTTGCCCATCGGTTGTCGGTTCTTCGAGCTATATGGCCGACCCATTACCACTTTAGCATACTAATTCTTTGGGCTATGTCGGTTACTTTGGTTCTATTGCGGATATACTCGTTTTTAAGTCTATCACGCAGCGAAACGCCGAGCCCTCTCCATAGCTTCCTGAGCGACTTTGAGCTTCCTCATACTGCCAGCAGTGAAGGACGACGTCTCAGATCCATAGGTCATTACTGGCAACACGGACTGGTTGTACAAGTTTTGAGGTACCTATGCCTGACGAGATGTGTCGTAATCTCCCGAACGCTGCCCAGCCAAGTTAAATCCGTCGATTGACTTCTCGGTCAAAGTTGGACTTACCTAGTCGGACTATTTGTCCCAATTTTATTTTCCAATGTGTGTTAATGAATATATAATACACATATTTAATGAATTACTTTTAACTTGCCTGCCAAGCGCGGCAGCTATGACAAATATGAGTTTATCTATGGGGTATTCCTGTGTCTTCCTGTGCCTTGAAGTCAGTCAGACAGAGGTCTTAAATAGACTGTAACGGTTTCGATCCAATATAGGTAATAAAAGTGAATTTCATAAAATTTTATATTATTATAAATAATACTTATTGTAGGTCACTCTTTTGTTTAATTACCACTGGTTCGAAAAAAAAACCTCTGTCCTGGGAAGAACCAGCAAGAAACCCAGCGGGCCTTTTTTTTTAAATAACAGCTTACCATCATGTATGTTACACCATTAACCTCACAAAACAAATTAGAACACCTCATTCTCAGGGATTATTATCATCCATAAATTTCTTAATATTATATTAACCCTTTTTATACAAACTTTGCTTAATAAAGTTTTTGAACTTTGAGCAGGTCAAATTTTGTATATTTTCTGGGATTTTGTTGTAAAAGCGTAAATACATCTCCCCAAGAATGAATTACTGACTCGGTGGAGTCGAGTAACTGGTACTACTAGCTTGTGTCCTACCTTTATTTTTGTGTACGTACATTACATTTTCATAAATGTATGGAGAGGCTAAAGTTAATATTTTAATTTCCTTAAAATTTTTGTCGGAGCGACTCTATAACGAGGATATCTACAACAGAACCAGAGTCGTCCAACGGATCAGTAAATAGAAGTGGCAATGGGCCGTCCATATAACTATGATATAGCTCAAATAACCCACAACCGATAGGTATGAAAGGTTCTCGAGTGGCAGTCTCGTACCGGTAAGATAAGTGAAGGACGGTCCCTCACAAGATGGAGTGACGACCTTGTTAGATATGCATGAGGCCGATGGTTACAGGTAGTTCAGTATCGTGTTTTATGGCATTCTTTGGGTCTCCCTATATTCAGCAGTGAAGTTGTGAAGGGTTGAAATGATAATACATAATCTTTATTGCGTTCGTTAATGATCGTGTAACTTTGAACGATTTGATCGAATGAGGTCACACTCCCGCAATAAAAACTTTGTTCTGTGATAAGCTCCCATAGGTAGCGCTGTTCTCTAGTTATTACAAATTATGGTTTAGTGCGAAAAAAGAAAACAACAAAATCTTAAACCGATAGGTGGCGCTGTTTGCGATTAATTAATTTTATATTTACACTGTAATAAGTATGGGGTGAATTCAAAATGAAACTCATCGCGCCACTTATAGGAAAGTGCAGATCAACGTGTGCGGAGCCACCTAGTATCTTATACACGTCTTGTAATTATACATAGAGCCTCAAACCAATAAAAAAGATAAAGGCACAGTAATAGGAAAAGAAGGCCGTCATTTAAGTCATGATTATTTTTAATAATAAAATTAAAAAAATTTGGAATAATTGAAAGATAGAGAGAAAGAACGATTTTATTTTTGAATTCTTTTAATTTTCCAAATCGCTTACAAAAAATTGTGTAAAATCAGCCTCCTGAATGATGACTATTAGAAGTTAAATCGCAATTGCAGTTACTCCCATTCCTAAAATTATAACTTACGTAAAATAGTGCATAATTTTACTCGATTCTGTTGCGTGTCTTGAGATTATAAACAAACGAAATAAGACATGTTTATAGGCGGATGTCAGTTATATCGTAGAAACTAGTGGAAAAGGGATTATCCCTTCTAACACGTTCATTGCCAAAGCTAAAATTGAAGTTTTTTACTGGTGGCCCAAAACTTTTTTTTTATGAAATAACTCTTAAGTACAGCAAATACTATTTGCGGGTGTGTTTATGGTTTTAGTATATATATTTAATATTTTATATAATATAGTTATATATCACTCGACGTCGCGTGATGGGCCATGTGGAGTGTACATTTATCCTTAGGGGCCCCATCACGCGACGTCGAGTTTTGGGATACCTTAGCACTTTTGTGCAATTATGAGTTCAAATGTATAAAATTAAATATTTTTAGTATCAATAATTTTTATTTGAATTATATAACACAAAAAATAACAAATAGCACGTATAGTTTGATGCCACTTGTGGCCTTTTCCTTTAATTTATTGTCGGAAAAATAGGCAGCCACGCCATAAATCCATCGACTCGTCTAAAGATATGTTCTGGCCTGTATAATATATATTATTCATTGTATTATTGAAATTGTCGACTATTTTTTGACATTTATTTAGACGCCTAGCAGTGGCGTCTTCTTCTTCATCAGGGAGAGTAAAATGTATACAACGTAAAATAATAAAAAATCTGTTTCTTGACATGTATTTCGAAAAGCATGATTTATATAACCAGTGACCCTTCCAATAATCTGTCAATCGGTTCATTTTTGCAGTGCCAGTATGTAACAGAAGACCCAAAAATGTTTTGAACTCTTCAACGGTCAACTCTTTCCATCTTGAAATACGTGAATGACGATGGTCACTGGAGCTTTTCATACGTTCGGCGTATCTGTTTGTGCACTCCACGATCATTCTCAAATATTCTTCATTGAAAAATAAACAAAAATAATCTATTGGATGTGATGGCGGTTCTACATGCAGCTTTGACTCTCGAACGAATAGTATTTGTTTCATAGACGAGCAAGAAGTACTCCAGTGTGAGGTTGATCCTTCGGTGGCAGGTTCAGGAGACTCATGTGGCATAGCTGACTCTTCAATCGTTTCATTCAACTCCTCCCTTTCTGCAGATGAAAATCGAATTTCACTAGGTGGTAGCGGTGATATAACTCCTTCTTCATCTTCTTCCGACTCCAGGGTTGAGCTATCTCCATCATCATCACCCAATAAAAAATCTTCGTCTTCATCACTTCCCACAAAATCATCCTCATCAGAGTTTCCTAAAGCTTCAAGAATATCCGATTCGTGCAACAAAACACGTTTTGATTGCGCTCGCAAAGGTATCTCGTTTGATCGTTTCGTACACCTAGAGGTATCAGGTTGATGATCACTCATTATAAATTTTGTTTTATTATAATTATTATTACTTTATACTACAAAAAAATACGTATTATTTGTTCACAACTAACTAAAAACAGACAAGAAAGCCGTCCGGCTCGAGCGGCGACGCTAAGCGAAATAACCAATTACGTAGCACTAAAACTATCGCATGGTTCGGATGGCCACGTCCACTTTACGATAGCTCAGTCCTTACTCTAGAGGCCCATAAAAAACTCCGTTGCGATAACGCTCCGGCCCAGGCGATACACTTCATACAAAACTCGTCGGACACTTCACGCGACGTCGCGTGAAGGGCCAAATTGAAGAGTACTGGGAACACGCGACGTCGCGTGATTGGCAATTAACGTGCTAACGTAGTTTTATACGTGGAAGAGCCACGCTACAGCCATATTATGTTTGTAGCACGAATAGGTCGGCTCGACCGGAGTAGGACCATGCTATCACAGAATACCAGCGTAAAATAGCAGCTGAATATTGCTGTGTTTCTTTTTGCTAGAAACGAGGGATTCTACCTTAGTCCACAGAGGTGACAACGATGGATAAATGTGTGTGTGCTTGTTTGTCACCCTTACTCTATAACAAAAGAGTCAAGCTATAGCTATATTATGGTTGTAGCACGAACGAATCGGCTCGAACGGAGAAGAATCACTCTCTCACAGAATACCAACCTAAAATAGTAGCCTAATGATGCTGTAGTTTAAATGCTGAGTGAAGGGAACTTTTTTACTTGTAACGAGGCATTCTATCCAAGTCTTCAGGGGCGACAACGGCGTGACATCTACATTTTGATTCTTAATTAAGGATGGATGTAGGTATCTGTGGGCCTCAACATCCACTTACCATCGAGTGAACGATATGCATGTTTGTCACTCTCATTCTATTAAAAAATCCTCTAATTTTCATGACTACTGAGGGTAACACTAAAACGCACGCAGCAACCTGTTGCAATCGAGTCTTACCTCATATAGAGATATCGTCATAGAGTATACTTTATACCAGTGATGGCGGAGTATTGCAATGGCGAATGTTGGCAAGTTATAAACATTTATGTGGTGATAAATACCGCACCAGGTATGATGCGGCCATACTCATTTTGGCATTTGCTCCTGCTCTGAGTATTCGAATGAACAAGGAATATAGAAAGAAAATCACATTTATGATGAAATATTATTAATTAATTATAAGATACTGTCTATGTAGTAAGTTGTAGAAAATCTGCTCAGTACAGTTAAAAATTACGGTTACAGCCAATCAAAAGTCCACTAGTGAATATAGCATAGACCCTCCCATATATGGTAAGGCCATATATGATGAGGTTATTTGCAAAGCAGTTGTAGTTGAGAACAGTTTTAAAGATTATGAGGTATACCTACTTACCGCTCAGAGCAACACCGACACCGAATAAAAAGATATGTCTCGCAATTTACAAAATGAGGTCCAATCGTAAGAAACATCATTTCAGCTCTAAGTTGGACGGATCTAGCTCAACATTTCGTTTCAATTAGATATATGCGCGTTCCAGCCGGAGTCGTCTCAATAAGCTAAGCCAATTAAATTGCTAATTGCAATTAATTATAAGTGCTAATTTAGCAAGTATTTAGTGGCAAAAGAAAACATCGTGAGCAGTTTGCTGCATGTTTGAGAAATTAAAAAAATATTTTGAAGGCGTGTTGTGTAGTTGTGTAGTACGCCAACATGCATTGGGGCAGCTTGGCGGAAATTTCCTTGTCCTAAAACTCTATCAGAGATGAGAGCGAGATGCGTGAATGACTTCAAGCGTAGTGTTCTTAATAGCAATCGTGGTGTATAAGTGTGAAATACGTTAGACGATATATTTGTATCGCTATCATCTTAAGTTGTTGTTGAGCGTAGTAGTAAGTAAAATGATAAAAAAAATTAGTACAACCGACTTAAATATAAATTATTAAGAATTACTCAAAAACTATAGGTTAGACAAATATCAAATTTATATGGAACCACGTGAGAAGCACCAGCTTTCAAATGGAAAAAGAATAATCGAAATCGGTTCAATCAGAAAAAAGTTATGAGGTAACACACATAAAAAAATACATACAGTCGAATTGAGTACCGTCTCCTTTTTGTAATCGGTAGAAAACGAGGAAGTTTACAGATCCGTTTGCTACCTACCGATGGTTAGGATTTGTCGCACTATATTCTCTGATAATGCCTAGTTTTGGGGGAAACACGTTTCGTATTATCGACCAGGTTGCATGTATTTGCTAATGTTGATGTTGTATGAGTGTATTACAGAATGTTACCGAGGGTTAGCAATCTCGAACACTATATTTTCTTAGAATGCCTTATTTTGGGTCGAAATATGTATCGTATTATCAAACAAAGTGTGTACCTATGTGTCTAGAAGATATCTAGGAGATACATATGTAAGTACACACTTGGTTTGATAATTTGTGAGGGTGGTGTATTAGTCAAATGCATTATATTTAACACTAGCTGTCCCTCGCGACTTCACCCGCGTTGTATTTACTACAATTTCAAGGGTTTTAATTTTTTTGCGCGGACCCCGATTCTTTTTCTAAAATAAAAGTAAGCCTAAGTTACACCTTATAACATCAGCTATCTACCAGTGAAAGTCCGGTCAAAATCGGTCCAGCCATTTCGAAGATTAGCCGGAACAAACAGAGACATAAATGATAAAAATTGTTTTATTGTTATTAGTACCGTATATGCTTTCATATGCATTTAGTAAAAAGCTGTTATTTTAACATTACAAATAGACACTTCAATTTTATTTATTTGTATAGATTTACATGTAGTTTATGAAGGAAAATAAAGACGACATGTACTGTTTTTATCACCCGACGAATACAGAGGTGTATTATATGTTTGTAGTGTGTATCTGTGTGTCTGTCTGTGGCATTATAGCTCCTGAAAGGATGAACCGATTCTGATTAATTTTTTTTCATTTGAGAGGTGTCTTAATCGAGGTTGTTCTTAACTATGTTTGAAGAAAATATATTCTGCCGTTTGAAGATCACCAGCATTATTTGTTACGGGGTTTTTTTTTAATTTATGTAATTATTACGTGGTCTATCTTTACGTGGTAGAGCCATGCTGCAGCTATATTAGTAGTATAGTTGTAGCACGAATGGGTCGGCTCGACCGGGGAAGCACCAGGCTCTCACAGAATACCAGCGTCAAATAGCAGCTTAACACTGCTGTGTTTCGTATGGTGAGTGTAGAGAACCGGAGACCCGTTTTACTGGAAAAGAGGCATTCCATCTTAGCCCTCACGGGTGACAACGCATCTGCATTTTGATTCGCAAACGAGGATAAATGTAGATGTCTATGGGCCACAGCAACCACTTACCATCAGGTGGACTGTATGCTCGTTTGTCATCCCCTCATCAATTCACAATATTACTTAATTTGATTTAATGGAATAATTATGGTGGCACGTTCAATAAAGCTTAATTAAAGACCTCGAGTGAAGAGAATAGAAATAAAAGTGTGTGATGCTCATTGATATACATTTTTAATATATCAATGGCGATGCTCCTTGATATACAATAAATATATCAATAGTGATGCTAGTTACAAGAGGCCCATCACTGGCTAATTGAGTTTTAGTAAAGCAGCAAACAATTTACTAATTGGATTGATTTTCGAATCAGTTCTTATCTTGGCAAATTAAACTGATCGTTCGATTCCATAGAGAAAAAGAAAAAGTACACATTTTTATCTACTTTGTCTTTTGTTTTTCTTGAGAAGCGAGGTACTACGAGCACGAGGGTTACAGGGAGACGTCAGTTGTACAGGACACAGCTAATTCAGAATCGTCGCTGGATTTTTCACATGAGTCACAGGACAACAGCAAAGACTACGATCATAATCAACCCGACATGATTACGAACTGGAAGGAGAGAGCTTTACAGCTGGAGAAAGGTAAATGCACTCTTTCACATATATACCAACTCTTACTTTGGCGTTGCCGCCTTCCGCTAATGAGGGACATTTTCGCAAGTTTTTTTTTTATAGAATAAATGTGATAAACGGGCACACAGCCCAGCTGATGGTAAGTGGATGCTGTGGCCCATAGACATATACGTTTATCCTCAATCAAGAATCAAATATACAGATGCGTTGTCGCCCCTGGAAGAATGTAGAATGTCAAGATGGAATGCCTCGTTTCCAGTAAAAAGGGTCTCCAGTTCTCTACACTCATCACACGAAACACAGCAGCAAAGATTACTGTATATATTGCACAGCAGCATTAAGCTGCTATTTTACACTGGTACTCTGTGAGATCGTGGTCCTCCCCTGGTCGAGCCGACCCATTCGTGCGACAACCATAATATAGCTGCAGCGTGGCCCTAACGCGTCAAGAGATTTGAGGAATAACATAAAATCGGTAAAAGTCTTCTATACTCTTCTTCTTCTTCTTTTTTATCGACTCGTAAAATTGTTGGAAACATCTTCCGTTATATGGGAGGATTTATCGTCACACTAGCAGGTTGATTAAGAATTGCAGTTCCAGACAAATCGCACCTTTGCTGCTTGTCGCCGGTATGGGTATTTTCTACACCATTACAGCCTATTAAATTCCACATAGGCTTCCCTAATACATTGTCTCATAGGGGGGATATTTGCCATAGTTGTTGTTAATTTGAAAATTTCACCTCTCAGTGGGTCATGTGCTCCTGGTAAATTATCTTCTATACATCCTATTGCGTCTATAGTTCCTCTGCTGAGAACATAGGCCTCCCCAATAGATTGTCTCATAGGAGGGGTTTTCCCGTAGTTGTCACGCTTGGTAAGCGGGTTACCGTAGTTAGTCGTTAATCGTTATTAGGAATACACTGCTGCAAATCTCCTGATGTGTTTCTCTCTGTCGCCTCGCGACACCCACATAAATAATATGGGGTAGTGGATATTCTTACATCTCCATTACACAGCAATATTTTATAATTTTCTATAGTTTGTTTGTTAATAAATAAAACAATATACATGTACCTAATTTAGACAAGTGTTTAATTTTCCAATGCTTCAGTATTTGTTATATTTTGATCAAATGTAATCAGTAAGAGCTATTTTCAAATTATTTGAGATTTTACGGGCGTCATTTGAAAAGATGGGTACTGACCATTCTTTTCCAAAACTGCCTTTCGGGACCGTGAACGGGACAATTGCGTAGCCCACCTTGCTAGTCACTGGATTTAGGTTTTTTGCATTCCTTAACGCTATTCTTAATTGTTTTTAATGTGTAAAGTCATAAGGTTAATTATTAAAAATAATAAAAGTGTGAGAGCGGATGTTCAACTTGCTCTCTTGCTTACGTAATTAATCATTATCAGCAATAAAACAGCGTACTGCACTGTACATTTAGTATAGAGCAAATACAGTTTGACCAACCATAATATGTCCCCGCCACAATTACACACTGGTGTAACGTGAAGGACATAATTACATCATGATAACACCAAAGTATGTATACCAACAGCAACACTACCCATCCCAATGTAACACAGGGCAGCCTCTCAACAACACGATCTTCCTTGCTTAGACTAGAAGAATTACCCCAACGGGCACAGCAACGACAGCGAGACTCGTACAATTACGGACAAGTCCCTCTTAGTCGCCTGCGCGATACTTTATACTGCTATAACCGGTGGGAGATTACAGATTACTACCCTTATTTCTTTGTATTTTCTTTTATTTTTTATATTATATTTTCACTTTACAGAATATAAGAAAACAGCATGCGATCGTGAGCGAACTCGAATGCGGGATATGAATCGAGCTTTCGATCTGTTACGATCGAAGTTACCAGTCACTAAGCCTTCCAAGAAAAAGTATTCCAAAATTGAATGTCTTAGGTAAGTACAACTGCTTTATAAGGCAAACGGTAATATGGCCCAAAAGGAGGGCAACTATTAATCATGGTTATGTTTGCCTGTTTCTATGTCCGCCTGTAACTTGTCACTGTTAAAACTTTTGTAACCATTCAAAAAAGATAAAACAAGCCTGTACAAATCTCTTATAAAATTTGCGGAGATGAACTGTCAAAAATTGCAACTTTAAAAAAGAAAAAAAAAAGAAAATGAAGTTGTATAAGCACAGAATATAATATATAATTATATAATATATAACGTATAAGGAGTGAATGGTAGAGTCGGCAAAGGACACCCTAGACGAAAGTTTATCGACCAAATTAGCGATATATTAAAGACGGGCCAAGTTAAGAGTACCTTAAAATGGCAGTGCCAATGACATACCATTTGGAAGATCGTAGTCTCTGCCTTCCCCACTCTAATCGGGTATCTCGAGGGAAGACATTTATGCCTTTGTGATGGAACTATCGAATCTGGATTATGGAAGATCTATTAAGTCATTTTGTACCACTTTCTGAGAAGACTTTTTTCCTTGCAGGAAATTGGCCAAATTGCGGTTCAGTTGGGGCTAGTAGGTTAAGCGAGTACGAAGGATAACGTATGGTTTCTAACTGCAGGTCTTGAAATGTTAAGCAGTGTGAAGTCTCGCTTTATCAGGGATCAGTAATGGTGAAGATAGATTAAAAACTCAGGGTTGTTTCTCTGAGAGTTTCACCATCATTGTCCGAAGTTCTTCACAATAGATATCTGCTATTATTGATACTCCTGACGTGTGATGACCTCACAATTCTGTCCAAAATTCCTTAATTTCTGTACCTACTCAAAAATGCATGAGTCAGCATTTTTAAACTAAAGTCCCACATTACTTTTAATTTACTGTTATTTATATTAGCTAAGCTATTCCTTGTGATTAATTTTTCAAGTCGAAGTTTTCACTACGAAAGTGATTAAATTAAAAAAAAACGCACAATGCGTTCGTTAGTCAAACATCCTCTACAAACGTAGCTTTGATATTGCTGGCTCTTCTGCGTTAGAATCACGTTAATAATATGATGAAATATAATTAATTGTTAATAATATAATATTCTATATCTATATATTAGTACGTTAAGGGAAAAATTTGTAAGTATGTCAGGGCCAGCAGTATCGGATCCAGTTCCTTTATTTTATACCCGGTTTAAATGAAAAAGCAAAGCGTAAACTGGCGCAAACGGCGAGCGAACTGAGTTGCAAACGTTGTATTTTACAAGAACCGGCAACGGTGCGTGCGCGCATGATTAAAGTAAAGAAGAATTAAAAAGTAACATTATGCGAAATTATGATACAATTAATTTATTTGAAGAATATTGCGCGCACGTTGGAGTGACACTAAAGTTTATATGGAGAAGTAGTGCTGCAGAAAGCTAAAATTTATATTTATGACGTGTAACAAATACATTAAATTAAATAGATAAAGCACTATGCTCAATGACCTCAATAGTGTTTCCCAACGGATAGGTCTTAAGATGAACATGGACAAAACAAAGATCATGTTTAATGTCCATGTCACACCTATGCCGGTAGTCGTTGGGAACACTAAGCTCGAAGTTGTTGACGAGTATGTTTACCTGGGACAAATAGTCCGATTAGGTAAGTCCAACTTCGACCGAGAGGTCAATCGACGGATTCAACTCGGTTGGGCAGTGTTCGGGAAATTACGGCACATCTTCTCGTCAGGTATATCTCAAAACTTGAAAACGAGACTGTACACCCAGTGCGTGTTGCCAGTGATGACATACGGAACTGAGACGTGGTCCTTCACTACTGGCCGGATGAGGAAGCTCAAGGTCGCTCAGCGAGCTATGGAGAGGGCTATGCTCGGAGTTTCTCTGCGTGATAAACTCAGAAATGAGGATATCCACAGTAGAACTAGAGTGACCGACATAGCCCAACGGATTAGTAAGCTGAAGTGGCAATGGGCCGGCCATATAGCTCGAAGAACCGACAACCGATGGGGAAGAAAGGTTCTCGAGTGGCAGCCTCGTACCGGCAGGCGAAGTGTAGGGCGTCCCCCCACTAGATGGAGTGACGACCTGGTAAGATATGCAGGAAGTCGATGGATGCAGGTGGCTCAGGACCGTGCTTTGTGGCATTCCTTGGGGGAGGCCTATGTTCAGCAGTGGACTTGTGAAGGGTTGTAATGATGATGTAATGAAATAGATAAAACATTAATTGTTTACGGTTCATACTGCCAATGTTAAACACATATCTGTGGTCATAGAGTCGAACTACTGACTCGAATTTCCATTTTTAAAAGTCTGTCAAGGCAAAGAAACGAATTTCGACCAACCAATTAAGAAATACATATATTTTTTTTTTGGTTCCGTATCTATTTTCTTTTTTGGTCTGAGACTGGTAACATACTCATACTCACTTTTTATTGGACACCCTTGTACTTTACATTCCCGTTTCGTCTGAGAAATTTTTTGTGAATTCCATTTATTTGTATAAGGGCCGCATCAAAATTATACCTAAGTATACCAATTTTTTATCTATTTTTATTGAGTACAACATAGCTTTTTATTACAGGATAGCTATTTGTTACATTCGTCACTTGGAATATATGTTAGCGGGTGGTTCGCCTGAAGAAAATCCAGTCTTCTTTGAATTTCAAGCAACAGAAATAAGACGCCGTCAACAGAGATATTAAATTTTAATTTTTTTTATATTATAAGATTGATAAATTCATAATCCTAATTAAGCTTAAGCTTGCAAAATTATGTATAATACGTATAAGCTTGCAAAATTATGAATTATTTCTGCGAAATCTTGGATGGCTTTCGAAGGAATTTCTGGATAATAATTTTTTGTTACATACGATTGTGATTACAAGGAGAGCAGAAGTTATAACCGGTCGTTTGAATGTATCCTCTTTGGTTCTAAATTAATTTAAACACTACATATTTAAAATACATAAATATCAAGTACTTTAATAACAAAATAAAATATTAGTACAAAACATAATACGTGTAACTTTATTTTTAAATAAAGTATCGACGATACCTTTCCAAAAGTATTAAGTTACCAAAATATTTAACGATACAAAAATTCCCCAAAATTTTGTATGTGTACATCTGAATCTGATTCTAATTTACACTTTTTGCTTCTTGAGTTTTCTTTCTTTTTCTTCGTCAGCCTGTTTCCTCTCTAGTGCTTTAAGGTAGTCAAGGTAGGCGCACTTTACAATTAATGGAACTTTCACGACTCCTGTGTGAGGAAAACACAATCCATTAAATCGTGATACAATATTTGTATTAAAAATGTGTGCTAAAAGTTTTATATCAAAACACCTATATATACACCCATAACAATATATAAAAAAAAAACTAGAAATAAGGTAGGAAACGATACGAAGTATTTAATATCATCAAAGTACAATTAAATTATATAGTGCCCGCGGTTTATTATAAAATCTTTATTATACTATATTATATAAATAAAATTAATGTGTCTGTCCGTAATTCCGCCTTTTATTGAATTTATAGGGTTATTTGCTTGCTTTTAAGACATGCACAACTATTAGTAAAATTTGTGTCTGTCTGTCTGTCCGAGCTAATCTTTGGAACAGCTAAATGAAACCCATCTGCATTCATGATAAGAGTTCCTTAAGATAAAACAAAAACGTATACACATCCATACATCAATTCATTATTAAACAAAAGCACACACAGCCGACAGTTTCCCAAAAAAATGTCAAACCTACGTTTTTTCATAAGGATTTTAGGTTGATTAAAAGTAATAATATTTTATTACTTTTTTTGAAAGTGATTCTGTAAATTCGCTATGAGATGTAAAATGTTTTAATGGTTTCAGTGTACTCGTGACAGTTTTAGTATATTTGCACTATTAGTAGCTATTTGGAAGCTTTATTGGCAAAATTCGGTACATAATGGTAATGCTAATAGTAGCAACAATAATTATTGTTTTTATAGTTGTACTAGCTGATACTCGCGATTTCGTCCGCGTTGCTCACATATATCACTGAACACGTAGTGCTTATAAGAATCGTTGTTTCTTAAATAATAACTTTATATTATATGAAGATATCGCAATATTTTTTTTAGATAAATGCAAAGTCTCAAAGAAATAAAACTTAGAAAATCTAATTGAAATCTATCCAGTAGTTTTTCCGTGATACACGCACAACTGCAAACCTCTAACATTATATATATAATATATATATATATATATATATATATATATATATATATATATATATATATATATATATATATAACATCTAACATCTACTATTATACGCATTTGGAAACTACAGTAACAGAAATTTCCTTCTAAACAGTATCATGTAAATACTTGATGTAGCGGCGTAAACTGCAATAGGCGTAATTTAAAGTGTGTTAATTGATATCAACGTTTACAGCACATATTTTCTGTTGCCAAAATGCTGTTTAAGCTGAAATACTTTATAAGTCATTGTTATAAAACACACGGTCCTAACGAACATTTTTATAACACTACACTAACCGTGTAGTGGCGGTGTAAGAATATCCACTATCCCATATCATAGGCATATTGTAGGTATCCCTGAGGGTATCGTAAGAGGCGACAGAGAGAAAATGAAACAGAAGATGGGCAGAATCTTCCTGATATCAACCCTCAAAATAATAAAAAACTGCGGTTGCCAACTCACTTGCCAAGCGTGGCAACTATGGCAAAATGAGGCAATCTGTGTGGGAGGCCTATTATGAGCAGTGAACTTTTATAGTCTGTAATGAAATGGGTGGATAAAAAGGATTCCTTAACGAACTGATTCCCTGATTGAGGAATATTTGTTGAGCACTTCCTTCAGCCTACTTTAAACGACATAATTATAGTAAAAAAGAAGAGAACTAAGAAGAGAAACGGAAGCGACAGTAGTCTCCTAGTTAAGGGTATGAACTGCAATTTTAAAAACTATTCGACCACTGTCGTGAACCTCCTAGTTATTATATTTCTCGATGAAGTTCTGAGCAGGGAGCGCTCTCGACCCCTACGCACACTAAAACAATGTATAATATGTGCACGCCTAACACAACCAAAGTCAAAACTTCATCACGAAATAGGACTAAAACATTTTTTTACTTTCCATCAATAAATAACCATACCATTACAATTACAGCCTATTTAAGTCTACCGCAGAACATAGATTACCTCATATGGGGGATATTTGCCACAGTTGCTAAGCTTGCCAGTGGTTGGCTGTTGTCCCATCTCTTGGTTCAGTTTCCCTCTGTTGCGTCTTACGGCAACCCACGTAATGAAATGGGGTAAAGATATTCTTACATCGCCACTACAAGGTGTCAAGCATCGTCAGTTTATGCCACGCACATCACGTTTACTAACTCGAAGTTATTAGCTGTTGAGAATATTTAAATTAATTTTTTTTCATTTATTAGCCGTCCACCGCTGAAGCTTTGAACAAAGCACGGCTTTGAGTCACCTACATTCACTAGTTCGTCGGGTTTCATACCCGGTTTTACTACGGTTATTATCATTACAGATTCACTCGCAGAGAAACTTCGAGCATAGCCTTCTTCCTATCTCGCTGCGTCACTTTAAGCTTCCTCATACGGCCAGAAGTGAAGGACTACTTCTCAATTCCATATAGCAAACATTGGCAACACGAACTGGTCAAAAATACAATCAGTGCGTGCTAAATGGAATAAATATTTTTGTTTTAAATACATAATTTTTGCACGTGGTAGAGCCATGCTGCAGCTATATCAGTAGTGTAGTTGTAGCACGTATGGGTCGTTTCGACCGGGGAAGGACCACGCTCTCACAGAATACCAGCGTAAAATAGCAGCTTAACACTGCTGTGTTTCGTATGGGGAGTGTAGAGAACCGGAGACCCTTTTTACTGGAAAAGAGGCATTCCTTCTTAATCCTCACGGGTGACAACGCATCTGCATTTTGATTCTTTATTGAGGATAGATGTAGATGTCTATGGGTCACAGCAACCACTTACCATCAGGTGGACTGTGTGCTCGTTTGTCACCCTATCCTATAAAAAAAAATATTAAGGTTTACCAGCAAAAGACGTTGTTATGAAATTCTTGTATATTGAATATAGTGGTGCCAGAAAGCTTTCAGCGTTTTCTTCCCTCTATAAACAAAAGAAACAATTGTAAATGTATGAAATGTTATTTATTTACTTAGTAATTTTGTTATAATTTAATTATGTTAATTAAAATTAAATTTAAAAATATCCCTGTCCTCTCTCTCTGTCAATGATACGACCTAGTTATACCAGGGAATTATCAACATCAAGGAAGCTGTTTCCGGCACTAAGAGGGTCATGGACCGAATAACCCTGCCCCTCTCAGCTACTACCGAAGTTACACAGCAACGAAAGACAAAATAACAATTTGCAACTAAACCTATAGTTGTTACAAATATTGATAGAGACAGTTCAGAAACTGTAATTTGCAAGTGTCGGAAAGTGGATTTACAATGCCAATCAAAGAGATAAAATATAAATCACTACGTTTAAAAGCTTGATATGGAAAGGTGGTGGAAAGGTTTGATTGGCACGACATCTTCTTTGTATGCGATTCATGTACAAGTACCAGGTAAACATAGATCAGGGGCACGATGGAATCTCACTCTCAGTTAGGACGGTAAAATGCCGTAGTAGCAACGGGCGACGAGGTTATAACATACACAAGGAGAACAGCACACATATGATACATTCGTTTTCATCTAAGTCTCAAAAGATTTTAATTCGAAAATAAAAAAGCTTTTGTTGCTTGTGAGCAGTTCCGCAGAATTGAAGCGGACTAGATTATAGAGGTATATCATAATATAAATATGCTTATATAGATAAATTATTTCCAATGGAAATATTGCCAATTTTGCAATTAGAGAAAATTGTAAACTACCTAAAATTACAAAATGGCATTTTTGTAATAATGGTATAGATTAGAGAAAATTGTTAGTTAATTTGTTTTATACGTTTTAGACACTCTTTTTCATGTTTAAAACAAGTTTTAAGAGCAATTTTTCTAGGTGTTTTCATTATTTCTTTTTCGTTTTTTAATTTATGAAGCAACAGCTAGGTTTCCTTGTGACGTAAATATTGTTACTAGGATTGCATATATCGAAAGCTACGATACTCTTTCTACAAAATAAATAATTATTATTTTCAACACGTACAACCACGTTACCGCACCGGTCATATACAGGAGGCCGTCGAGTGTTGATGCTGCGCATATATTCCTGCCAACGACGAATGCATTCCGTGACGTCTTGTTGGTCGCCCCACACTCCTTGCGTGTACGTGAAATATACAGCTCCTACCAGGATACCAGCCTGCCAAGAGAGTAAAATGCTCACACTGCTACGACACAGACACACTTCTAAAATACTAAAAACTACGAAACATAGAGGAGGTTGTAATGAAGCAGCAAAACAGGTGGGACTAATAAACTTCAGCCAATCAAAGCCTACAATGTATTAGGAGAAAATAACGCTGTAAGAGATGTAATCAAAATTTTACTCACTTTAACAGCGTACATAAGTTTTCCATGCGCATAAGGAACTGACATTTTTTTAGGTAATGCGTATTTTTTTCCACTTTGCAGCATACAATATTCCTCTTTGGTGCAAACTTTTAAGCACGTAGGGTGGATTGGTAGTTCTAAAAAATTA